GTGAGGGAAGAATTGTTTCCAGTCTATGGCCCCCTTCAAATGTGCCAGCCCCCCCGGAGGTCATATGATGCCCATTGAGAATGGCTGCTCAAGACCACACTGGGTATACAAAGTAGAACTCTTGGAGTAGAACCCTAAAAATGTGTGAGACTTAAATTATCCACGACTAACTCAGGCCTGCTGAATTCAAACTCTTAGGTAAGGATGTGATCATATACCAGTAGATGGCAAATCGGACCACTTGTGAAATAGATCAAGGGTGATCTATTTCCCAGGTGATCATAGAACACATGGAGCAATGTGCTCCAGTCTGATTCTGATCCATGCCCAAGCTGGACCATTTTGCCATGGAGCAATGTGCTCCAGTCTCTGATCCATGCCCAAGCAGGACCATTTTGGTCCAGCTGTAGGGCTTCTAACTTTTTACTACTGGGCAGTTCCCTGGCAGACGAAATGGTCACTTTAAGGCAAATCGCTTCTGTTAAAGTGACCCTTTGCATATCCCAAGTCTGGATCCAAGTCATTACGTTGTTGCTTTATACCCACACTTTGAGCAAGGTGTCATTGGGCTATTTTAATTTTTCCTTTAAAAAAACAACAACAGAGGAGAGCATAAATGAACCAAAGGTACAGACAAAGAAACAGCAAGGGAAGGAATTGCCATTTATAGCTGGAAGTGTCCCATGCTTTGGGCTGATTCACGTTTCCCTTCTGTCATAGTTTAAGACACTCTGGCATGCGCTGCCCTGTGCTATATGCTCCCCAAACAATTTCCTGCAATTTTATGCTTTGAAGGAAAGGAAACCACCATGTCTTTGCACAGCAGCTTTAAGGCTAGGCCAGTAGGGATGAGCGATATTTTCTTCTCGGTTCATTTTTTTTTTTTGCTAGGAATTTGCCAACGTTTACACATTTCTTTAGGTTCCGGATGGAAAGAATTTGAGATTTAAAATGACGCAAGCGTGGAAGAAATGGAAGCTGACAGATGTGTCGGTCCAGACCCTCAAACTCCCTAAACACCTGGCTTTCATTCCTTCTGTAGCCAGTCATCAGAGCTCTCGGTTGGATCATCACCACAATTATACCATTTAGATTAATGCTGTGTCAATGCTGATGTTAAAGAGTCACAACATAGTTTGGGGATTATTCACACTGAATGCCCAAGATCTTTTTTTAGGGGGACATCCGATCATGAGTACACAATCACACACACACACAAACACACAATGAAGAGTTTTGTGGTGCCTTTATAGACAAACGTTAGATGTTTTGGTTTCCAGCCCACTTCTTGACATGGCTCTGGGGCGGTGAGGTGCAAAATAATGCATCGTCTCCAGGGTGCCACTGGATGCTTCATTTGTTTTGCAGCAAAAAAAATTGACACAACTACTCCCCACCCCTCATGAGTTCATTAGCTGGTGTGCAATGGTATTATTTGATATACAGTTGGCCTTGAGCAGAATCTTAACCCCTGGCATGGCTCAATATTTGATTTTGAATATTTCTGAAATGTAGTCTTTAGAATCTGATGGAGTTTAATTGTAGCTGATGGACATTTATGGGTACTTAAATGGATGACATGCAACTGTGGCCGCTTGTGATCTAAGCAAGCTGCTCAGCATGGGGGTCTTATCCTGATATGTTGGGGTGAGGGTCCTGCTATGTGTCAACCATAGATTGCCTTTGTATGCACTAATCAGTGACCATGTGTGACTTTGGATTTTTGATTCTGGTCAAAATTAGAATATTCCGATAAAGCCAGAAAAATGCAGATATTGAAGTACTGTACAATCTCACATTCAGGATGATTTTAGTGCCTGTTAAATCTGAAGGTCAAAATGAGAGATTTGGGTACCTTTTCCAGGGATGTGAAATTTTGTCGTCTCCTCCTGCAGCTCTTCCACCCTCTCCCACCTTCCCTTCCGTATACCAACAGCAGCCTCTGACAGCTTAAATAAATACCCTTGAGAACCTCCAAAGCTTGATCAGGATGAACTTACACGTGTTCCCTTGTGTGAACCAGGATGGCACAGATGTTGAAAAGTTCCTTTAAAATAGAATTCATTTCCCATTCCAAACGTCTCACCCCCAACTAATGGCTTACTGTAACAATTATTATTTTTTTAAAAATGACGGTCTGCTTTGTTATTATCCCGTGCTAACCGAAATAGTTAGAATACTATGCACATACCGTTTCCCCAAAAATAAGACCTAACCTGAAAATAAGCCCTAGTATCATTTTTCATGATGCTCATAATATATGCCCTCCCGCCAAAATAAGCCCCAGTTAAGCAAAAAAAACCGCTCTCCACCCTTGTGCAGCAACCAGAAGAAGATGATATGACTGTATTTGAATAAATATATATAGTTGTAAATGAAATAAATTAAAGCATCCCCTGAAAATAAGCCCTAATGCATTTTGGGGAGCAAAAATTAATATAAGACTCTGTCTTATTTTCAGGGAAACATGGTATATTTGGACACACACTGCCCTGCCAGTAGCCATGGACACTGTAACTGTAAAAGTAACTAAAACAGTTTCTGTTCCATTGCAAAAAGTGTGCCATCCCTTGTTACATTATTACAGTTGTAGCGCAGTTTAGCCATGCCTTAGTCACTGCAAAAAAAAAAAAAAAAAAGGAATTGATAATTGTGTACTATTTCTAATGAGTTGTCGTTTTGCTGTGGCTTGTACAGTTGTGTACAAAATGTCTGTGGCTTCCTTAACATTTCTCTGCATCATGACTATGGCCATGAAACATGAAAAAAGTGAGAGAATACTGGAAGGCACCATGAGAACTGCAGATTCTTTGATATGATGCTCAGTTCTTGTTGTTAAGTTATCCTTGGACATGTTAAGTTATCCTTGGACAAAATAGTGGCCAGAGAGTTACTTCTCCCTTGATTGCTAACTGCCCGGAGTACTGCTTTGCACTAACTGGGCAGAATAAAAGTCTAAGAAATAAATCAATGAATTGTATCATAAAAACAATGGGAAGTGTATTTTTCAAAGGTTGATTAAGAAGCTTAAGAGCAGGCCATCAGAATGGCGTATGGCATAAATTATATACATGTCAAGGTGTTGATTTTCCATGCTCAAAGTAGACTTACCAAATTAAATTAAGACAGTTTCTTCTCTTCTTGCCCGAAATGCCTCTTTTGCTGTCACCTTCATCCTTTGAGCCTACGTCTGGCCTGTGTGTCGTTACTGTCACATGCTTTCATCCTCCTCCATCCCATCCTAGTGAATAACCTTCAAGGGCTCCTGATTTTACTTCTTATTACAGTGGTGCCTCGCTACACGATGATAATCCGTTCCACTGAAATTGCTGTTTAGCGAAATCATTGTCTAGTGAAAAGCATTTCCCCATTGGAATGCATTGAAACCTGTTTAATGCGTTCCAAGGGGGAAGAATTGTCGTTGTCTAGCGAAGATCGGCCATAGGAAAGCTGCTTTGCAAACCGCCAATCAGCTGTTTAAATCGCTGTCTTGCGAAGCTTAGGTCCCCAAAACACCTGTTTTGTGAACGCGGAGGGAGCTGTCAAAATCATCTGTCTAGCGAAAATCAGTTTGCGAAGCAGCGCGAAGCAGGGACCAAATATTGTCCACTGAAATTCCCCCATAGGAATCACTGTTTCCAAATCGTTATAGCGATCGCAAAAAGTCAATGTCTAGTGAAAAAACTGTCATGCGGGGTAACTGTATTGCTTTACACCCTGCTTTTGTTCCTTCTTCTGCAGCCAATGCAGTACAGCTGGACTGGAGTCCAGCTGGCCCAATTTTAGCAGTAACAGTTGATGAGGGCAGCAGGGACAGAGAGAGATACACTCTGCTTTTGTTCCTTCTTCTGCAGCCACTTCAGTACAGCTGGAATGGAGTCTAGCTGGCCCAATTTTAGCAGTAACGGTTGATGAGGGCAGCAGGGACAGAGAGAGATGATTTTGGTCAAAGAAGATTCATAAATGGATTTCACTGTGTAAAAGGTGACAATGATTGACGCCGACTTCGAACAATGTCCATTTTTGGACTGTAATATTGGCCATGGTGGCTGGAGAATTCTGGGAGTTGTAGTCCCGAAAGGTAACTGTTCCAGAGCGATGTAGGGTGTAGGCACAGACTGTTGGAGATTTTGCAACCTCGCATGCTGTGTTTAGCAGGTTTGGCTAGGAGAGATCTTTCTGGGCTGGAGTGACTGTCAATCTATCCAGCACTACCCAATAGTTCCCTCCCGCCTCCAAATTCAAAGAGCTCCCCACCTCTCTGCTCAGCTCTTATTCTCTCTCTTGAGTCTGTTGAAGTCTGTTGTTGAAGGTAGCCATGTTTGTCTGTTTGCTGTTAGTCTGTTCACAACTGTAAGTAAAAAAAATGGTCTCTATTCTTTACAATACAATAGGACCTCCCTCCTCCATCTGCAGCATCAATATCTGTTGATTCATTTATCTGCTGGCTGAAAGTACTAAATTAAAAACCGGAGAAATACCTATTTACTGTATATGTATTTCCAGGATACACTTAGTAAAGCTGGCCACTAGAGGGAGCCAGAAATCATGCAAGGTATGGTGTTCAACCCTTCCATGTTTTTCAGCATCTGCAAGAAAGGCTTGAAACTGATCCCCTGAAGATACCTCAGTCTATATTAATATCTCAGAATGAGTTATTGAGACTGTAAGTGCCAGTTAATAACAAAGGGGTGATCTACTCTGGGGAACTTAACGCTATTCTTCTCTGTAAATCCCTGCACTTCTGCTTTGCAGCTAAAGAAATTTAAACCAGAATTGAGAAATTTGCAACCCGATTTTTGCTCTTATCTTTTTTAATTATTATTTTATTTTTTGAAAAAATTATTTACTTTTTTTTAACAGCAGGGCATCTGAGAGGGCCTCTCTGTGACTAAAACCTCTTATTTTAAAACCCTTGCCTGTAAGGACTGTCGTCCCTTCTGTCTTCAGCAGAAGAATCACCGTGGGAAAGCGATGGGCAAAGTCAGCTGTAGGAACATTAAGCGGGACTGTCCGACTCCTCCTTGCAGCGATGCGGTTCTTCTGCCCGGACACTGTTGCAAAACCTGTCCCAAGGGTAAGTCGTACCCGTGGGGTGGCCGAGCCTTGTGCACGCCTGGGTCTGTGGTTCTCAAAGAGTTCAGCAGGTCATTGTGGACACACGTGGCGGTCCTTATACTCTGCGATGCTCTCCAAGAACACACAACCCTTTGACCTTCTCTTGCCAGAGATGGTCATTGTGTGTCTGGGTTGCACCGGTCCCAGAAGGGCTTGTACTATAAGCAACTCAAGAAGTGATGAACCGTTTCCTGCATGGAGAACAGAAATTCATCTAGGCACCCATTCCTTGTCGTTTGCTTGGAGAAGCATCGCGTTAGAAAAATCCAAGGAATCGGGCCATGTAGTCCTCACACTCCTTGATATGACGGCCGTGGCACTGGAGTCAAATCACTCTATATGTTGTGGAGCAGGGGTGAGCAGCTGGTGAACAACATCAGTGGGGCTGAGGACTCTGCTTTTGCCTCCAGCACCTGCCGCATTAGACCTGGAGCCGGTCAAAACGACGGCTGTCCCCCAAAAGGAAAGACAGAGACCTGGAAGTATCCAGTCAGCCAGTTTTCGTCTTTGGGATTTTCATTTTCAACAAGATTTCTCTATTGCAAAACCTTTATTTGGAAGAGAATGGGGGTAGGCGGAAGTTTGGTTTGGATTTTTTAAAAATTTGCAGTCGGGTTGGCATGGGGATCTGGCAGGGAGTGGGCCGCGAAAATTCTCGTGGGGCTCCCTGCAATGCATGGACTCTGCTTGGGCCTCTTGTGGTGTACATGGTGTAACACTGTATGGAACAGATAGGTAAAGGTAAAGGTTCCCCTTGACATTTAGTCCAGTCGTGTCCGCCTCTAGGGTGTGGTGCTCATCCCCGTCTCCAAGCCTTAGAGCCAGCGTTTGTCCGAAGACAGTTTCCGTGGTCACGTGGCCAGCACGACTTGACACAGAATGCCGTGACCTTCCCACCGAGGTGGTACCTATTTATCTACTCACATTTTTACATGCTTTCGAACTGCTAGATTGGCAGGAGCTGGGACAAGCGACAGGAGCTCCTTCCGTCGCTTGGATTAGATCTTACGACGGCGGGTCTTCCAACCTGGCAGCACAGAGGCTTCTGTGGTTTACCGCAGCACCGCCACGTCCCTCTTATATCTGTGTATATAGAGAGGGGTTATTTTTATACTGAGGGAAAGACATCCTTACATTTGGTTTTTTTTTCCTCAGTCACTTTGATATGCAGGAGCTATTTCTTTGCAAATTATACTCAAAAAAAGCAATATTTCCTTCCTTCCTTCCTTCCTTCCTTCCTTCCTTCCTTCCTTCCATCCTTCCAGTATGAGAGGTTTGGGGTTTGTTGGTTTATTTGTTTTTTATGATTCGACTTGAGACTTGAAACCCACTCTCCTTTTTTCTGTGGAAAAAAAGCTTAATTTTCAATAGGGACTTATTTTCTTGTGACTTGGTACCAAGGCCTCAATCTTAGACTTAGGACTCAGAACCAAAGGCTTGTCAATATCCCCGTGGCTTAGCATGCGATTTTCACATACACTGCCCAAAAGTGGAGGACACATAGCAACAAAGACACTGCTTCAATATTTTGAAGAAAGCTGCTTTTGGACATTGTAGACTGAAAAGGAACAACTACACCCAATCATGCAAATGCTTCTTAATGGTGAGGTCACTGACCCAAATGCCTCCTCCTTCAGTGGACTGGGTCAATCAAACTGACATTTGTATATATCTGAAAGGCAGTGCTAAGCACAGATTCAGTGAAAGAATATGGGCATGCTCATATGGCCTACTTCATCAGCTGAGATACTTGAACACCTTTGGGGGGGAATGGACTTCAAAATAGCAACTGCACTTCTGTGTAAGCAACTGTAAAATGATGCACATTGTGTAAAAAAAAAGCATAAAACTGTTTTTGCAGGAATAGCATCTGTCTTGTGATGACCCAGGAATGAGATCTTGGAACTGTGAGGGATAGCTTAGTGAAACTGTTGCCTCAATGTATAAAAGTTGTGGAAAAGCCAGATCCTGTCCAAGGAGTCATTAAAATAAAATTGGCTGAATCATAATGTGATAACATCACCGAAGTACATGATGACCCTATAGCATGGAATAAAATATAATTTCGGTCACTGGATATGGTATTCTGCAGAAAGTGCAGAAAACTGACAACGGAATGACGAAGGCATAGGAACATCTCCTCTAGAAGGAAGATATTATGGCATTCAGGGCTCTTTCACTTGAAATAATACTGGGGATAGCTCAGTGCTTTAGAGGTTGGGAGTCTGATTCCCCACTGTGCCTCCTTGACACTGGACTCAGTGATGGGGGCTGGACTCAATTATGCATTCCAGCTCTGCAGTTATGATGATGATGATGATGATGATGATGATGATGATGATGATGATGATGATGATGATGATGATGATATTACTAATAATGGTGATAAGTAAGCAGGGGACCCAACAGAGAAGTATGAAATTATATATTTTATGGAGAAGTAAAGTGGGATAATTTTTCCTTCAGAAGAGTAGAAGCTGGGAAATCTACTGGAACTAAATGCTGGGGGATTCAGGACAAGTAAAAAAGACATAGTTGTTCCTTACAGTGCATTGTCAATATTTAGAATTAACTACTAACATATACAGTAGTTAATTGTTAATTAATAAAAGGTTTTCTAGGAATTTGGTTATTCCTCTAATATAAGCACAGGAAACTTGGAGAGATCAGCCTAGTCTCATCATTCCATCACTGATTGCACCAAAATCTATTTCTTTCTGTATTAAAAGAAACATCTTCAAATTGCAAAAAGTATCATTGCTCATAGTTACTATCTGTTAGTCAGAAGTGAGGAAAGGGGGAGGAATAGGAGGCATGGAGAACGACTCCAAACCTGCTTCTCAGAGGATGGTCAAGGGGAAAAAAAAGAGAGGACTATGAACAAAACATTAGGAGCAAACTGTTGGAGATTTGAGTTATTTTGCAACTTCTAGTGCTGCCTCTAGTAGATGTGGGTAGGAAAGACCTTTCTGGGCTGGGTTGACTATCAATCTATCCAGCAGTAACCAATCATTCCTTTTCCTAATCCAAAGAGACCCACGCCTCTCTGCTCCTTTCCCCCCTTCTCTTTTGTCTGTTGGAGTCAGTAGTCTGTTGAGGAACATTGCTGAGAGCAGTCGTGTTTGTTGTCAGTTTCCTGTTTTATCTGTTCAGCTGTAAGTAAATGAAACCTTTTATTCTTTCCACTTAAAGTATCTCATAGTAAGTTACTGAGACTTTAAGTACCAGTTGATGAGAAAAGGGGGTGGTCTGCTCTGGGGAACTTTAAGCTATTCTGCTATGTGAATCCCTGCACTTCTGTTGCACAGGTAGAGGAATTTAACCAGATATTAAAAGCTCTGCAACACAAACATGAAGAAAAGGCTTGTCTCAAATACAAGAGGAAGGGGAAAAGTTAGCAGCAAAGGATGTCAGCCCACTCCCACTGATACCCAGCATTAGTGAATGCAAGACTGCTGTTTTTCCAACAATAATAATGGCTGCCAACTTAGATGGTTTTAAAAGACTCAGAATCCTGCACAGCAGAAGCTCACATTACTCAAATTGTACAGGCAGTTTTCACTCATTGAAATTCCTGCAATGACATACCCAATACCTCTTTCCTTGAGAGGTTCTTTCTTCTCTCAGCAGAGGCTATTTTCTCTCTTCCCACAAATCAAGACAAGCATTTATATGTTGAGGGGAAACTGGAAGCTCCCAGCCCACTTGCTGATGCCAGAAGGACCTCAGGGAGTTACAGCTATCATTGGTTGCTACATCAGAGTGCTATCTGCCTGAGCACTTGATTTATTTATATATCCCGCCTATCTAGTCAGTTAGGACCACTCTAGGTGGCTTACAGGAAAACATACAGCAATATATATATGAAAACAATTTTACATAAAAAAACCTACATATTCCATAGCTAGGACTGAAAAACAAAACAAAACAAAATCTAGCACCTTCTCTTCCCATTTCTTATACAGTGGTGCCTCGCTAGACGATGATAATCTGTTCCACTGAAATTGCTGTTTAGCGAAATCATCGTCTAGCGAAAAGCATTTCCCCATTGGAATGCATTGAAACCTGTTTAATGCATTCCAATGGGGAAGAATCATCATTGCCTAGCGAAGATCGGCCATAGGAAAGCCACTTTGCGAACCGCCAGTCAGCTGTTTAAATAGCTGTCTTGCGAAGCTTAGGTCCCGAAAACACCCGTTTTGCGAGGACGGAGGGAGCTGTCAAAATAGTTGTCTAGCGAAAATCGATTCGTGAAGCAGGGACCAAACATTGTCCAGCGAAATTCCCCCATAGGAATCACTGTTTTGCGAATCGCTATAGCGATCGCAAAAAGTCAATGTCTAGTGAAAAAACTGTCATGCGGGGTAACTGTCTAGCGAGGCGCCACTGTACCAGGATGTATGGAAGGGGTCCAGCTTCTCATTGGCTTTGGGTAGAAAAATGTCTCAAACGACACCCACTGAGAGGGCTCCCCCTCTATGTGGAAGAGGGTTGGGTTTTTTTGTTATGTTTTCAAGCCTTCTTTGTGTGATTCCTGTAGCTACGGCTACCACTCAAAACACTGAAGAGGGCAAACCTTGATTCAAATCCAGCTGGACCTCCCCCCCCATTTACAGTAGAACCCCTATATCTGTGGAGGGATTGATTTCAACATTCACACCCCATGAATGCTAAAAACTGGGGGATGCAATTTTTCCAATACCCAATGCCATCGATACCTAACATTGTCTCCCCCTAGTGACCCGTTCTGATAACTTTATTGTTAAAATGTTTAATTTGGGGGCCTTTTTCGTTTAATATTTTTAAGTTGTGGATAAGCGAATCAGTGGATACTGATCGCATGAATAAGGGCTTACTATATTTTCTTTTTGCTAAAATGGCTGGTAACAGAGGCAAAGACAACTTATTTTTTTAAGGCCCGGGTGGAGTATGCAAGTTGTGGCCCTCTAGGTTCCCCAGTAAATGACAATAATTTAAAATTATTTTTAAATTATTGTCACATCACCCCTCCCAGGTTCCCCTCATAATTTTTTTTTAAAAAAATACTCTTTAAAAAAAATAGGGCACTAGAGGGCGCAAGGGTTTTTTCCGAATAAAAAACCCCCAATAACCTCATTTAGTTATTTTGCAAGGAAAAATCTTTTAGAGGTGAGGGTCCGTAGAGGGAGAGAGGGTCTCAAGGGTCCAGAGATGAGCCTGTGCAGATTACACACCTCTGGTCTCCGGCGTCCGAGATGCTCCAGCGAGTTCCATTCCCTGTAAATGTTTCTTCTCTCTGTGTGGCAATGCCAGCCATATTGGCAGGGGAGGTCCCGACGATGGCCAAGCGAAATAGGTGCCTTTTGCCGATTTGTACATTAGGACAAGAAGCATTAGATGCTCTTCTGAATCAAGTGGATGGTTTTGCATCCAAGAGATGTTGGACCTTGGAACATTTATTTCCTGGGATTTGGAGAATCCATTTGCTGGAGACCCGGGGTGGGGGTCAGGCTGGAACTGCCCTCCTTAAAAGCACTCGGACGCCAGGAGAGAATTGTGTTACCCCCGCCAGCTTCCTGCTGCGATGGTGATGCCCGGTTGTTGTTTCTGTTCCTAAGTGAGTCGCAGCAACACAATTAACTTTGTCCTAATAAGGATTACATAAGAACAGCTTTCTCTGCCCCCCCTTTTTTGAATCCTTCCAAAGTTGCAGGCAGACAGATAGTCGGCTAAAAGTTGTTTCCATCTGGGCCGGGCGATCCTCCCACCCGTGAAGGTGGAAGGCTTTGGATTCACGCCAGAGGCATTAATTTCCATGGGACTACTCTGGTTCAAATCAAAAGACTGTTTAGATTAGCTGTTTTGTAAATCAGGTGATGACTGGGGTGGAGGGAGTGCAAGATCGGATTTTGCAAGAGCCCCCGCTCGCTTTGGGAAATCGGGACCTTTAGAGGGTCGAACTATTTCCTGGCTGAGTTACGATGTGCCCATCAGTCAATACGTGAAATAATGAAGTTTTAGGAGGGGGAGGGCGTCTCATGTTTTGGACCAGCAAGAAGGGAACAAAGAGACCAATCTTGGACTTAGACAACATTCCTTGGGTCCAGCTTCATCCACTGTGTATACAAGGAAACATTTCCAAACAGATTTCATAACCACCTTGAATCCCCTTATTGAGAGATTGGCAGCCTATAAGTAAGACAAACAAATTAAGAAATAAATCAATCCCATCTATCGTGTGTCATGCACACAAGGGGCCTGTCTGCACTAATGAAAGTGCCTATATTTTTATGATAGATGATAGATGCGATTAACAGTTTAATGACAGGAAACAAGTAACTTTCCATTCAGGTATACTAGGTCTTATACAGGATGCTGGCCAGCATCCTCCCACATCGATTCTTTGGCGGTCAGCCTTCTGTATGGTCCAGCTCTCACTTCCATGGGAAGACCATAGCTTTGACTATGCGGAGCTTTGTTGACAAGGTGATGTCTCTGCTTTTTAAGATGTTGTCTACGTTTTCATTCCTGTCCATAGTGCCTGCTTTTAGTAGAAATCAGTCTGGAGTTAGGTAGGGAAAGAGTTAGATAGCGAGAGATTGTGAGGTGGAACAACATTAGGAACAGGCAACATAGCCGATCTCGAAGTTTAACGCTGCATTACTTTTTGACATGGTAAACTTAGTACAAGTTGGCCTTAAAATGTCAGCTTTCACAGGCAAACATTTTATTTGTTTGCACACGAGGGAATCACAGTGAAAGCAAGACTGTCCAGAGGTGGTTAATTACACAAGGAGACAGTTCTTGGTGGCCTGCAGCAGGTCTTGCCAAACAGTTTATGAAATTCTCATCCAAATATACATTTGGAAGTCATAAATAAGAAAGTATTTGGGCAGCATTAATAATCACATGTGGCTTATAGATTTTCACACAGCTGTCACGTCTCCCTCCCAAGCCAGCGCCACCGTGTTGAGAATTAGCAGAATTCCATGTAGACCAGCAAAAAACCCTGGTGGGATCCAGTTTCCACATATTTTGCCAGGGATAACAAGGCAGTCGGCTCTAGTTTGAAATGTACACAAGACCATGCTAGACGCAATGGGACGGCTGCCTTTGTCCTTTCCCATGTCTGCTCTGTTTGTCTCTAAAACAGGGCCTGCGTCAAGACTTGGAAATGCGGTTTCTTCGGACTGCCAGGATCACCCATGCTGGGATTCTTGGACTCAGGGATTGTAAAATGAAGTCTTCTCATCTAGCCTGTGTTTTCATTTAACAGAAGAAAGTGGGTGTGGGTTAAAGGAACTGATTGATGCTGCTGGTCCTTCTGTCACCTTGCCTTCGTGGGACTTGGTTGCTCCAGACAAGTCTGGTCTCATCCTCTCTTTTATTGAGAACAGTCCTCTGCTTGAAGGGTGTCCTGGTGTCCTCCCTATGAAAGAGCTGTCCATTCTGAGTCTAGTGTAAAATCAAGAGCGAAAAGAAGGGAACTCAAGAGCCTTGACGCTTCTTACCTGTAGCATCACCTGAATTGCAGAGATGGATGGATGGATGGATGGATGGATGGATGGATGGATGGATGGATGGATGGATGGATGGATGGATTGATTGATTGATTGATTGATTGATTGATTGATTGATTGATTGTATTTCTTTACTGTGCTTCTGTGATGCCTTTCTCAGAGCAAGGGAATTCAAGACGGTTCACAGATAATTAAAACAAACAGAAATTAAAGCAAAATACAAGCATATTTAGAAACTTGTTAAACCTGGGCATGCAGTTTAAAAGGAAGAGGACTGAACAATAGTGATTGAACAACTTCAAATAAGATAAAATATGTATGTTCCAACCTCAACAAAGCCCACAAAGTCCCTGGAAAATTGTACCACTAGATTGTACTGCTGATTTTCAGCATTTTAAAATTTTATTATTTTGCTTACCTGGGGCCATCACTGAGGAAAATGTTAAATGCTGACTGTGAATCATTTATTCTGCTCTCCATGTCTATGTGTGTTTAGATGATTATGTTTTCTTTTTAATGATTCTGCTGATGGTGTCTGAGTTTTGTGGCTTGCTTTGTTAAGACGTGGTGGTGCTGTGGGTGAAACCACAGAAGCCTCTGGGCTGCAAGGTCAGAAGACCAGCCCTCAGAAGATCGAATCCACGTGACGGAGGGAGCTGCCATTGCTTGTCCCAGCTCCCGCCAACGTAGCGGTTCGAAAGCATGCAAAATCCAAAAATGCGAGTAGATAAATGGGTACCACCTTGGTGGGAACGTAAACGGCATTCCGTGTCTAGTCATGCTGGCCACGTGACCACGGAGGATTGTCTGCGGACAAACGCTGGCTCTATGGGTTGGAAACGGAGATGAGCACCGCCGCCTAGAGTCGGACACGACTGGACAAACTGTCAAGGGGAATCTTTACCTTTACCTTTTTGTTGTTTCAGAGTTTATGTAGACTGTAGAGTGATATTCTGAGTACTTTAACAGGAAAGATTTTGATGAATATGTAACATATTAAAATAAATATATTGAGGCAATAGTGTGGGGAGGGGAGAGAAAATGACTTCTCCATCAAATGCCCTCCCCAGAAATCGCTGCCTTCTTTTTTCCTTTTAATTTTTAGATTCTGAGGTGATAAAGAAGCTCTTTTCATTTTTGATTGAACAGCGATTTGATCTTATTTTTTGTGACCGCTCGTTCTTCAATGCTGCTTTCACCTGCTGCTTTCACTATGATTTCTCTGCTGTTAGTATTTTACATTATTTAATTTCCAGCACTCGAAGGTCCATAGGGTCTCTTTCACTTCTAAGATGATGACGATGATGATGATCGAAATAAGTTGGGAGACTGATGGCTGAGAAACTGAGGGCTGTTCTTGTATTGTTCCCTTCGATGTTTAAAAAAGACCCTTCTTCCTGTTCTCACTTCTACAGCCACTCCCAGCTTCCTGGAGAAAAGACTTGAGCCCCTCTTTGCCAAAGTGGCCTATTTCCAGGAAAAGGAAGCGGATTTACACCGAAACTACAATGACCGTGCCTATCACAGCTCAGAAGACTTCGTCCGAGATGACAGCCACATAGGTATGGCTGGCGTTTTGCAGGTGGATAGCGGCTGTGTCTGTGTTGGTGTTAGGCAACGTATTAAACTCCCTGAGGATCCCATTTTTTTCATATACAGTGGTGCCTCGCTTGTTAAACTCCCTGAGGATCCCATTTTTTTTCATATATTTTTTTAAAAAAGAAGTCTGTTTCTAGATCTAGTCACCTGAATGTAAGTGGACAAGGGCTGCTGGAATCTTGGAAAAGAATGTGGAAGAATACAGTTCATGGTGCTTGTGGCACATGTATACCTAGCTTTTTGCATGCTCCTTTCCTAGAATGAGGCAGAATTGGAGAAGGAGAGCTTGCACTGTGCAAAGTAATAAGAATTGTGCAAAGTTGTTTGTTGTTTATAATTCATACAGGGAATAGAATCCAGCTTTTCCTGTCACAGAGTTTTGATAACACGGGGACAGAAGGCTAAATCCACCTTTAGTCACAACTGGAACAGGTCTGATACGCGGTGGTTGAGGTCTCTGGCTGTAGAGCCAGAGTTTGAGAGTTTGATTCCCCCGTTGTGTCTCCAGGGAGAAGAGCCAACCTGGGTGGCCTTGGGCAAGCTGCACAGCCCCAGGGCACCCCCTGGAGGAAGGGAAGGGGAAAACCACTTCTGAGTATTCTTTACCTGGGAAAAGATGCTATAAGTTGGAATTGACTTGTCGGCAGATAGGGTTCCTTCCAGCCCTGCAGTTCTGAGATTATTATTATATATTATTATAATTATTATTGTTACATATCCAGGCAAATAAATGGGGATGTTATTACTGGCCAGGAAGTCCCACTCATAACTGTTTGTCTGACCTAGAGGGCACAAAAATTTGTTGTAGCCCAGAATATTGATTCATTGCTTGATTGTACCGTAGATTGCTATATAGTATATTGGCATACTGTAACTGGTAAATAGATAGTTTGTATGTGAGACAAAAACACAGAAATGTTACAGGATAACTGCTGAAGGCTACAGAACTGGGAAACTTATTTAGGTGTTCTCAGAGCCTGGAAAATTAACATTTCGGACAGAAGTTCCCAGATTCGAGGGAAGCTGGTTGACACTTTCCAGCTGAATACAGAGCCTCAATCGTTGTTGTATATATTGAATTATAGATGGGCATAGGAGCCCCGCCCCCAGTTATTCCCCTAGATCAGGGGTGAGAGGACCATGTAGCCTCTTGCAGAGTGCAGATGGCATACAAATCGGATAGATAGATAGATAGATAGATAGATAGATAGATAGATAGATAGATAGATAGATAGATAGATAGATAGATAGACAGACAGACAGACAGACAGACAGACAGACAGACAGAGATAGATAGATAGATAGATAGATAGATAGATAGCCCTCTAGAAGGCATTGGATTGCAGCTCCCATCAACCCTGACCAGCCTAGCCAGTGGCGAAGGATAATGGGAGTTCCAGTCAAACATCTGGCGAGGCGCATGTTCCCCATCCATGCTGTATATAAAGAGGAGCCAGATTTAAATACAAATGCAGGAACGTTATTCATGTTGAGAATTTTGATTATAACGTGTATTCTCCTAACATTAGCAGAGTAAGGAGATATTGGTTAGCGGAGATAGTATGACACCATGACACTGAGAGAGTAAAACCAACACCTTAGTCTATTTACATATATACATACATAGAGAATAGACAGTCCTCTGGCAGCATGACAGGATACAACCCACAACATAGGAAAAAGTGATCTGACTTAACAGCAGATAGAGACGTTCATTTTACTCATGACTTATGTACACTTCTGTGACCCATCAGAAAATGCATGACTTCATTTTCTGTTACACACAACGTTTCGTCATGTACACAGCTGTACAACATTCTTAATCCTCAATACCCACACCCGAATACAATCAGTGCAATGACTCAGGTAAAATCAGCCATTTTACATTTATATTTAATATTTAATACATTCTCATCAAAATCTCAACAATTCACTCAATTATAGATGAAAAGAGTAATAATAAAAAACCCTAGCAGAGCAGATTTGATTGAAAAAAATCTGGCAGCCGTTTCAGAAGGTTAAACTTGTAGTATTACAAAGTCCCTAAATACCTATGCATTGGCATTCGGTAGTTAGGAATTCAGAAAGGAATTGATGTGGACTGGATTTGGATACTGCTAGCAGAATTGTCCGGCTTTGTATGCCTCACAATCCCCATTTAAGCCCCCTGGGTTGAGCTGTTCCCCTCCTCCCCTAAACATGATATCTCTCCATCCACCTTTATTGTCCAGGAGGTCTCACATTTTTCTGACCCACCCACCTGCACTGGTGGTCCTTCACCTTCCTCATCCAGCCAAACGCTTTTCCTCTCCTGCCATCCTGATGCTGCGTCTTGCT